GATTTTTCTCGATCTTTTCGACCTTAGTTCCGTAGGAAAAAATCTGAAAAATTGAGAAATAGAACTATCTGATTTGATTCGTTCTCAATAATGTTTTAAAGTCCCATATTGAAAATTTAATAACTAAAATTACTTGATTCATGTTGTTAATGGCATGGAGTGAAATGAGAATGACGATGATACCTGGACATTAGCTCCGGTGACAATGTTGGGGTTGTCATAGGGCTTGCCTTCAGTCTTCCTTCTGTTCTGCCACTTTCTCTTGAAAGCCAAGCCAGCCAACATTATGGCCTCCGACGATCCCACTGTTCCAACTCCCACCGCCGTCTCATTCTCCCCCAATGGGGCATTGAACAAGTGAGCTATCATGTTCACACATCGATTCTGCATCACCATTCACAACAACCACTTATTACCTCATTTCTTCCACACAAGAGCTAGCAAATCATAACATGATAAACATTTTAAGTAAAAAAAACTGCAGATTAAAAATTTTCAATAATATTATAACTTGTGTATTAATTTTTACGAAATTGATTGAATAACAATAATATTTTTTGCTAAAAAAAGACACAAAGGCTAAATATTTGTTTAGAAAAGTTAACTATAATCTAATCTACATTGTGCATCAAATTTAACATTAATTTATTCCTCATACTACAGTTAAAAAGTAAACAAAGAGTGAAACATGAAAAGAAATCAAACTAAGACCAACAGTTTATATAGGAAAGGATAAAATTATTCATTTTAATTTCAATCTCTTTAACTAAAAAACTATAGCTGTTCAATTTTAAGATTTTATTAAAACAAAATTAATGAGGTTATTGTCTTCTTCCTAGACTCCATTACAATACTATAAACTCTTAAATCATGGCAATAACTAGGGCCAAATTCATTCAAATCTAGATGGCCTTGAAAGTCAAAGTCCAAGATAGTTATTTATGTCTTAAGTTTGGTTAAAGTTGCACGTATTCTAGTGCCTTGGTCAAAATTCTAAAGAGTTAAAAGAGATTTCAAGTAATATTATTAAAAAGATCTCTAAAATTTATTACCTTAGAACCAAAAGTCAAAATTACCATTTATATGATTTGATAAAATTTTAAAATTCAGTTAAATTTATAATTTATTTATAAAAAAAAAAAAACAAAAAAACAAAAAACCCAACAAAGGAATAAAATAAAAGAACTTTTGAAAAGACTTCAAAATTAATCTATGTTTTTTATAAAACGAAGTGCCAAAGTCAATTGAGAAAAAAGGTAAATTGCAAGACCAAGACCAAAGGCACGCTATGGACCCACCATTACCTATTATGTTTAAACTAGTGGGCCCATTTCCCCTTCAAATTTAGATTTTTTTCTTTCAAATCCTACTTTTTATAATATAATTTAGGCCTAAATTAATTAAAATGCCCTTAAATTTTATTTTTCCTAGCTTTATTCACTTATTTATAATTCATAGGCCATTTGGAAGTATGGGAGATAAACACAATTTTTTTTTTATTCATTTAATTAAATAAACTATTTTACACTAGATCCGATTTATTTATGGATTCTAGGAAATCGACTTTTGGGTTATACAGATTCTCAGTTATTTATTATTATTATTATTATTATTAAAGAAAAAAAGAAAAAAAAAAAAAGGAAGTTGTAGCCTTCTTCCTTTATTTCAATTAACCTCACCCATATTAATTTAAAATCTTAATTTTAATTTTTAATTTTTTCGATTTTTTAATTATTTTTAAAATTAAAAAAATTAATTATGAGCTAAATAAAATGATTATTTTAACTATATATATATTTATTTATTTGTTTCTAAAACTTCTATTCCTTCCAATATAAATGATTGTCTTAAGTCAAATTATAATAATCTGAATAAAAATATCATATATGAACCTATAAATATAAATGTCACAAGCCAAATTATAATAAATCAAATGAAAACACATTCAACTCTCAAATTATATTATATTTATTGATTAATAAAACCATGTCATTTTGAAAAATTCAACTATAATTATTATTCAATTCCATAATCGAACTCGGCCATGACCGAACGCTTCGATTCGAATTTCAGGAGAATTTCCAGGGGAAAACCGTTGATGGAGAGAAATGATAGAACGAATCGATCTAATCTTTCAATTTAGGCTAATAAAGATCGAGAGAGAAAAAGGTACCTGGAGCTCTGTAGTGACAGGATATTCATCCATATCGACGTAATTCTTGTTAATGGCGGCCATGATGAGTTTATCGCACTCAGGCTCCATCCAAGTGGTAACGAAGGAGGCCAGATTCAGCCTAGGGTTTCCATCGAGCATGAGTTCATCATTGATGATCTGGAACGCAGCTTCCTTAGGGATTGAATTTTCCGACATTTTGAACCTGGACCAAACAGAACATTATTGAAATCGATCCAGAGCAAAATCGAGAAAAACAGAATCACAAAATCACAAATAACAGATAGCATTGCGATAACACTAATCAATATCGAGATCTAATCAAAAGAGAGAAACAAAAAACAACAACGGTGAATGAATCAACGGAAAAAATAAATCTGATCCGCAATCGAGGAAATCAATTACCTCGGGAGAGAGGTTCGCACATATCGCGAAGCGAACGTGGAATGGACGGAGACATCCGACTGAGAAGCAGTCTTGGAAAGAACCATGGTGGATCAGGATGGGGAGGAAGAAGAAGAAGAAATTTGCAGAGAGAAGAATGAGAAGATCAATGGAGGTGGATGAAGAAGTAGGGGGCTTAAATACTAATTACACTCGTTTTCGGTCAGCCTTGTCTTTGCGTCCCTTTTTTTTTTTTTTTTTTTTTAATTAAAATCATTTAACAAAAATAGGTTAATATATATATTCTCACATTAATCATTTTTTATATTCTTACAACTATTGAATGAGTCTTCATAAAATTTAATTCTCCTTTTTTTAAGATAAAATCGACACAAAAATAGGAAAATATTCCATATTTATACGGATTTATTCTAAATTAAGGATTCTCAATGATGATATTCATTATTTCTATTATCATTATCATGAATATATATATATATATATATATATATATATATATATATATATATATATATCAAGTTCGAAGTTAAGCTTAAACCCGCTAAAGGGGGCATGCTCAACCCTCTAACGGGCAGGTTTAACCTTCTCGAGGGGGCATGTGTCATGCATGACCCCGACTCGTGATATCAATGTTTGGTCTAAATTGGTTTACTTTTAACTTAATTCATAGAGAAATTGTACAAAGTTTTAAAGTTTTAAAAGGTTCTCGTATAATTTTGTACCAGGAAATGATTTTTCTGACAATGTAATTTGTTTTTTTATATAAAAAAAAAAGTATTTAAGTGTATGAAAAAATATTTTTAAAAAACAAACATTTGAGCGAGAAGATACTATCGCTGAATTTGCGAATGAAATTTAAAATTTTAATATTTTAGAAATGATTTATTTTTTTTAAATAACAAAAGTTAGATATTTAGTTTGTCGTTTATTTTAACACATTAAATATTTTTAAATATATAACTAATTAATTAAAGAACTTTATGATTTATGTAACTATTTAACCATTTAATTCATATACTTTTAAATTTATAACAATTTAATTTTTTTTATTTTAGAAGGTAATACTTGTGTTCCAATTTAATTTTTATGGTAAAAAAATTATATCAAAATTAAATATTGATTTTTATTATTTGATAATTTAAGCTTCATAGCTTATAAATTTATGGGATTTTTAATTAATTTATTAACCTACATTATCTTAATAATTCATTGTTATATATTAAAGTTAAGGAACTTTCCTAAGCTAAATTATTACATCCAAAAAAAAAATTGTAAATTTTATTTATTTATTTTAATATTTTTAATTGATTGATTCTCCATATTTTAATTAAAATTACATTGATTTTTTTTTCTATTAACTTACATTTTCTCATTGATGTACTCTTGACTAAAATTAACAGTGACTACGTGGGACTAAAATTCTAATCTTGGGTTCTACTTCTTTTCTATTACTCACGATCATTTTCATATACATCTCTCTTTCATGTACACGAAACCCATTAGATGAGTATCAATTTCATATTTCGTAAGCCCCATTATGTATGCATCACTTTCGTGCATAAATGTATACCACAGTCATACAACTGACATTATATACATTACTTATATACGCTGAACCCTCAAACATGCTTCATATAGAAAAGGGACCAAAGTTTACATTTTGTGACTTTTCACGAGCGCACACGCATTAATTAATAGAGAATGATCATGGGTTTATAAGTGAGGAATACTAACTTCATTGGAATGAGGCCTTTTGGGAAGCCCAAAGCAAAACCATGAGAGCTTATGCTCAAAGTGGACAATATCATACCATTGTGGAGAGTCGTGTTCGTCTAACAATTAAGACTCATATATAAGAAATATTGGTTCATTAACATGCTGCAACATAAAAAATATTTCTTACATAACATTCTCATAACATATATGAAAATACGTTCTAGGACTAAATTAAAAAACATTCTTATCAATATTAGACTTGTGTGGTTCGAATCAAATCTCAACAATGTAGCTCTACTAAAATTCTTCATCAACGACTAAAATAATGTCGCTTGGCCTTCTTGTCCCTCGAAGGCCAACACGCCAAGCAACATCTTGGATTGCTTAAAGAACAGGCTCAACACTAATGCCTTTTACTCAACATCTTAGAACCCTAAACAGGCTCAATTCTAATGCCTCTCCCGCTCCTTAGCCAAGTCACAATACTAATGCCTTTTACTCTACACAACGGATATATCAGATGTGCAAATCCTCTAAATTTTCCCTTTAACAGTGCCTTCATGCTATAGCACATAAGTAGTTTAACAGTGCCTTCATGCTATAGCAAATAAGTAGAGTAGGAGATCACTTGAGCTCTAACCTTTGCCCCTACTCTTCCTAACTGAACCATCACTCAAGCTCACTCTTGTAGTAAACGCCCCGAGGAGAACACATTAAGATTCATTCTCCAGCAAGGTGAAACCCAGAAAACTACGATGATTAATAATTCCAGCTCATGAAAATAAGAAAGAAAAAGCACATGTTCCATTTTTCGGCAAAGTGCAAAAATAGAATATAACAACTGAAGCTTAGGCTGACATCATTTGAATGATATAGACGCTAAAATATTTCTCAAAAACAGAACACAATCGTAACCTCGACGCTCCGAACAACAGAGTCAACATAGGTTCCATCCCCGTTAGTTTGTTGCATCTTTGATTTTATTTCACGGTATTTCAGCACGCAGTCTTCACATTCTAGCCTGCAAGGACAAAGTTCTAATGAGTCGAGATCACCCCAAAACAAAAATAACACAGGTGAATGAAATAAAAAGGTATTTAATTTTGTAACTTTCTTTGACACAACACTGTGGAATGGCTTAAAAATCACATGAAAGAAAATTCCAGTAGCCAGGTCTCGTAGATCTATCTTACACTCTCTTATGACCCATTCGTATTATTCCGAATCATTTGTAAATCAAAAACTTGCCACTTTGCAACTTAGAATCTCCTAGCACAAAAAACAAATCGCTCAGAGTAGTTCAGTTCAGACTAGCTGATCATGCACAATAAATAACCTCTGCTCTGGCATACTCCTTTCCAATGGGAAACAGGAACCTTGGCTAAAGGGAAAAAGAACAAGACAAAAGGAGGAGAGTGTGATAAGATCGCCTACCTGATATGGAAATGGGAACAACTTTCCAATTCAGATCTAAAAGTAAAGAAGTTCGTAACAAGAGAGGCTTCTAGACAATAGACCAAAAGAAATTAACATTTCCCCACCTACTAAACCTGTCCAGAAAAAATCTCTAACTTCTTTAAAGCTACAAGTGCCACATAGAAGAAGCCCTGCACCAATAAAAGTCCCCTGGTTGAACCTATTATCTTACCAGAATCCTTACTTTTATCGCTTTCCAACTTCGAAAACAGTTCCAAAAGAGGCCTGCACTCGCTGACGGGAAATCAAAAGGCAACGAAACAGTAGTTTCTTTGTACACAAACAAAAAGGGGCCATGTGGCTTCACAACGGCCCGAGAAAAGCCAATGAATCCTTCATAATTGTCAATTGAATCTATCAGCATCGACTACAGGATTGACAGGGCAGAATAGCTTATATATAACTTTAGATATTTCTCCATATTTGGTTTACCAATCTTTGATTTTGATTGTACCCCTGATTTTATAATAGACTGAAGATCTAAATCAGAATAGATTCAAACACACGGTATAGTAGAGGAACCTTGGAATTCATAACCTAAACTAAAAACATTTTGGAAATGGTCTTTTGCTTGTGCCGACACATTTATTTTATAAGCACAATTTTTGCAAGAAAAGAGGGCACACTCTACTACAACAGGATCTCTTCCAGAAAAAAAAGGGAGTAGGATCTTAGATCAGGACGGAGGGAACATCTCAAGTTCAATTAGAGAGTAAGATCTAAAATTGGGATGGAGTGGACAACCCAAGTTCAATTACAATTACTAGGCATGTCCCATCTTTTCAACAGATTCCAACACCGTTCTTCATAACCAAATTTATCCTTGGAAGAAATGGTCAATTCTCTTGTAATTTTCCATGAGCAGGATAAACTCAAGGTAAATTGTCTTTACAAACTTATTTGGCCGAAAAAATAAAACGGTAGTACAATTACATAGAGAGATGAAAAAGACAGGGAGGTGCCATACGAGAAAAGATGGTAATAATAGCAAACAGCCAAATGCATGAATAACAATCCTCCTACTATACCGATTATTCAGGAAAGAAGAGCAAATGGGCAAGACATTCTTGAAATCTTTAACAATGATGGACTATTGAACATTTAAAATACCACTATGCCTTGAGAAGTCTGGATTTTAGTTCCTCCGCCACAGCATCAATGAATTCTTCAGTATTCAGATAATGATTTCGAGAAAGCCTGCACCAAACATGGGTATAATGTTAAAAAGATAAGATTTTCAATCTTAACGGCTGAGTGGAAAGAGGCCATTCATGACTACGAATATGGAACTTACTTGGATCCATGAATGATAAGAGCAAGATCCTTAGTCATCTTCCCAGATTCCACAGTATCGACACAAGCCGATTCTAGTTTCTCGGTGAACTCTAAGAGACTAGCGTTGTCATCTAGTCGTGCCCTTTAAAACAGTGATAAACAGTTAATGTTTAAAATTTCCATTGACCTAAAAATGTTTGAGAGATCAAAGAGATAGTAACCAAATGATATCTACCTGTGAGCAAGGCCACGAGACCAAGCAAAGATGGAAGCTATACTGTTTGTGCTTGTTTCACCTCCTTTTTGATGAACCCTATAATGTCGTGTAACAGTACCATGAGCTGCTTCAGCTTCAATTGTCTTTCCATCAGGGCAAACCTGAATTCAAAATGCAGACATGCTTCAAATTTCAACAAGGATAAACATTAATATTGAAGTCTTGTTTGATGATACAGTAATCCTTATACACTTCAGTACTGACAAAATTGGGTAATTTAATGGCTAAATGAATTTCAATGGTAAAAATGCATATCCACCTAACAAGTTGGAGCACATTAAATAATACTTTCTTTTTTCATGAATAACTGAATAAAAAGTACCAAGGGTATACAAAAAAACTAGGTCCACAAAAAAGGGAGCCTAACTGTAGAAAGGGATTCCAATGAAAGTAAAGTAAGAACTAACGGCCTATAATGATACTGAAGATTACATTTTCATGATGGCAAGTAAAACAAACAAATGTAATCATGTGTTTTTAATTTTTATGTTATTTTTTTAGATATAAATGAATTTCATAGAGATTAAACAAAATTAAGAAATCAAACTCAATCTGCGAATTGCAGGACATGCAGATTGTAAATCTTAGTCTTAGTCATGATGTATTGAAGACTAGAATGGAACATACCAATACAGAAGTCATCAACCCAAGAGATCCAAACCCTAAAACCAAACACATAAAGTTAGAAATTAAATAGAGAGAAGGCAGACAAAGTAGGAATTTTTCAGTAATTTCCCTGAACCAAGAAACCAATGAAAAAAAAATTAAAAACAAAAGCAAGGAGCTGAAGGCAAGTGCTCAAATTATAACACACCTTGAGCTAAGAAATCACTCTGGACATCTCCATCATAGTTCTTGCATGCCCAGACATAACCTCCATCACTCTTAAGTGCATAAGCCACCATATCATCAATGAGACGGTGTTCATACCTTTTAGAATCAGAATAATTAGTTAAACAGTTCAAACTTGGAATAGCTTAATAAACATTTATCCAGGCAACATTAAAAGCTATTCACCATATGCCAGCAGCCTCGAACTTGGATTTCCACTGGGATTCGTATACTTCTTGGAATATATCCTTGAATCTTCATTCAACACATGAACATAATGAAAGAAATTATTGATGCAGAGAACGCAAAGAAAAAGTTACTGTAAAAATTACATATTGTCCATGGACAAAATAGGAAATCAAAGTGTATACCTTCCATCATATTTCTTTAGAATAGTATTTTTTGTGCTAAGGTAAAGAGGCCATTTCTTCTCATAAGCAGTGTTCATTGATGCCTCAGCGAAGGAGCGGATTGACTACAAACCAGCATTACATTGAAGGGTTAATTTGAGAGACTTGTTGAAACTTGAAATGGGTCAATAATATTTTCTAAAGTTCCTAACTAAACCATGAGGATATCATAACAAACCTCGTCAGTGTTGTACATGGACAACGCTACTCCTCCAGCACCAGTAAAGTTGAAAACCTCTATCTCTTGCGTCTCTTGCCCCTCTGGAAGGGTAAGCATGTTAGGAAACTTCCAAAGAAAAGAAATTTAAGATTCATTAGAGAGATGATTTGGGAATCTCAAATACCAAAAACCAATTTCAATTTTCCAGGTCCTTTGATAACTGTATCAGTAGCTTTGTATTGATCACCAAAAGCATGTCTGCCAATACAGATTGGCTTCGTCCAACCTGAAAACAACAATCATCAGAACAATTTTCTAACCTAAGTATGAATTCAATATGGACAGCAATTACCTGGTACAAGACGAGGAACATTTTTGCAAAGAATTGGCTCTCTGAAGACAGTGCCTGCAGAAGATGCCAACAGGTGAGTCTGAAATAAAAATAAGTAACGACAGCAATAGGTTGACCCTAAGGAAACCTATTCTGAGACAAAATTCTCACTTCACAATCAAATAATCACAAACCATTTCAAAAATATGGAGAAAAAACAGTGGAGTGCAAAAGAAACACCAATAACATATTTCTAAATCTTCTTTGATTTTAGAAAAACAAAATATTCTAAAACTTGTAATTAGCCTTGGAAGCTTTTTCAAAAACTTATACAAACTGGAGTACAAATTACATATGGTGGGGGATCTGACCATTCAGAATATTCCTGATCGTCCCATTTGGACTTTTCCACATCTGCTTCAAGCCAAATTCCGTAACACGTGCTTCATCTGTCAATCATCATTGTTAGAACATCAGGACTCCAGGTGCTCTTTAAAATAATGTAAAAATCAACAAAATCCCAAGATAAGCTCTTAAATTGGATGATCTTTTCCAATTAAGTAAATCAATTTATACCAGGAGTAATTGTTGCACATTTGATTGCTACATTGTACCTAGAACAAACGAGTATAGCCAGACAAAATGAGGTCATGATTAGAAAAATCAGAATTCCAAAATGAATACGTTACTTAAAAAATAACATAAATAGAATCCACTATAATTTCTCATGATATTATAAAGTATAATTAGATCCATCAGATAATTCAACCAAAATAACTCAAATAATTCTCGCTAATAACACCAAATAAACATTGGGAATACATACTTTAAAGTAGCTTCTGCACTTTCAATTGTAACTTTATCATCGGTGGCATCACGGTGTGGAAGGCCAAGGTCAAAATACTTGATGTCCAATTCCAAGAAGGGGAAAATAAGCTACAAACAAGACAGCTAAAAATCAAACAAGATAACTAACAATTAAAATGCACATACACATTAAGAGAGAGCAATACCTTATTTTTAATTGATTCCCAAATAACTCGAGTCATTTCATCACCTGTACAAAGGATTCCAAGAGTAACATTACGAATAAAGAAAAAATAAAATAAAAGAAACAATGCAGAACAGAGGAAAATCTAAAGAAAACTCAAGGAAATACTCTTAACTATTCCACATCTAGACAAGTATTGCACCAATCATGCATTACATAAAGTAAATAAAGATAAAAATAACTATCGTAGGCAGAACTTCATTGGTTCTAATCGTTAAATTATTCACTAAAATGTGACTGCATAATTCAAGAATATAAGTAAAATAGTAGGCTTTTCACTTGAAAATGTAAATCTATGGAACTATGTGGACCAAGTGTATCGTGCAACAAATTTATTTAAGGCGACAAAGATCCAGACGTTAATTCCACTGGATTTGTTTCCAGCTTACAATAACTTATGATAATGAAGGGGGAAGAAAAGAAAAACACTGTCCCCCATCTGACTGGCAAACAGAGGGACAAAATTCCAAAACTTCCCTCAAAACAGAGGTAGCTGACCACCAACAAAGAGAAGAAAACAGAAATACTCATTTCTCAAAACAGAAATACATCAAACAGTAACAAGTGAATGCTAAGGCTTTGGTCTCAGATCAGAGAAGTGTAACCACAACATAATCACTTGACTCACTTCCGCCAGAGCACAACACAACAAATCAATTCAAGATGCAAGAATCACTACTCATACATCAAAAAAAAAAAAAAAAAAAAAAAAAAAAAAAAAAAAAAAAAAAAAAAAAAA